TAAGAGTGTCTATGTTTTATTTTTGGGGGGCTAGGCTGGGGGGCGGTACTTTTTAGGAGGCTTTTAGTTCGGTGCGTCAATAAAATTCAGCGAAAATATTTGCAAAGAATCGGCCGAGACCTTTTCTTTTCTTTTGTGGGTTTTATGGTCTATAAACAAAGGCTAAAATTGGATACTTCAAGAGGTGGGTAGAGGCACAAATAATGACCATTCTCGGAGGAGGAGATATCCCTCTGCCAGTTTAGAAATCAATATCCAAAAAAATCTCCAATTTCGATTCTGCCAAAAAAAAAAAAAAAAGAATAAGAGGCCCAAACATGAGAGTGCAGCAGCAAGAAGCCAGTTGTTGGGGAAACCAGTTCTCGATTCCGCCCAACCAGAACGGACACACAAGAGTAGGGTAGTGGGGGGTGGGGTGGTGTAGGGCTCAGACCATCAACATCAACAGGTAACCCAGTGCACCTACAAAGACAGACAGAAAAGCAGAAAATGCAACAACACCACCAGAAGTGGCCATCATCCGAGCCATCATCGAAGCCAATGGGTTTCCGTCAGCTGCTGTTGCCCTCTTGGCTTGCAAAGGAGGCACTCTCTATAGAGTGGATATTGCCGTTCCTGACTGCCGGACTGCCTGTCTTCCTGCTGTTTTTGTTGTCTTCCTGGAGCTGTTGTTTTGACGCCATGGAGGAGCCAAGTTTTGTTTTTTTTTTTTGGCTCTGAAAACTGGTTTCTAGAGGGCTTTTCTCAGGGTTTTCGGTGGCTTTTCATACCCTAGCTGGGATTAGTTGATAGAATAGCAGTACTTGATATTAAGGTATGATATGATATGATGTTATGATGATATCATATTATATTATAAAATCTTTTGAGATCTAAAGGGATAAGTAAGGATTTGTTCTTCAACAAAGGTATGAGGTCTTAAATAATTATATTTCTCGAAAACCAACCATATCATACCAATTCTTTAGCTCTTCCAGATCTTGAGATCTACATGGTATAAATCCTATAATATAGAAAAGTTCCTTTTTTAAGGAAAATATTTATCATAATATCGGGTCTCTTCAGCTTCAGCTCTTCCAGATCTTGAGATGGAATAGTTTCTACAATACATGAACTGATATATAGTTGGTATTCTATTAGTAACATTCGATTCTTATACCTTAGATGAGTACTTTTTAAGAAGAAAAGTTCCTTTAAAAGGAAAATAATGAAAATTATATCAAGTCTCTTCAGCTTCATCTCTAAAAGATCTTGAGGTCTTAATAGAATAGTTCCTGTAATAATATAACTGAGATATTATTAGTTCCTATAGGATAGGATTTTTGTTAGGTTCTTATACCTTAGGTGCTTTATCTTGTTCAGCTCTAATAGATTTTCAAATCTATAGTTTTATAGAAGACCTAATAGTTTCTAAAAAAAGGGACTATATTACCGAGATATTATTAGTTCCTTACTATAATCCATAGATCTCTAAGGTAAAGGATCTATAAGAATTAATCTCTACAGAATTATAGATCTCTAAGGTAAAAGGTCTATAAGAAATAATATTCTATAAACCTCTAAGGATGTATACGATCTATAAGATCTATCTCTAAAAGATCTATAAGAAATAATAAGATGTAAATAGATATCTAAGTAAAAGATTTATAAGAATCTAAGGTAATATTATCTATAACCTATAGATCTCTAAGGTCAAATAGTAATATACAAGATTTTTAAGAATGTATATCTATCTCTTTAGATCTCTAAGGTAAAAGATCTATAAGAATTACTCTATAAGAACCCTCCCCAAGACACCATCTTCTCTCAAACAAATTTCATAAAAAAACCTCCTCAAAAGGATAGGGTATATAAGGTTCTGTATACAAACAAAAGTAGCACTATTCCAGTCTCATTGTTTTGGATTTGGCGAAGGGCAGGACCGAGAACCAAGAACCATGAACCGAGACTCGATTCGAGTAGCGAGGAAGTGGTTTTTCCTGCCGTACCTGTATGACTTTTCCTCTTCTCTCTTCTTCCCTTGTTTCTTTACCTATTGTCTTATTCGCTTTTCGACAAAAAGAAAATCATCTAGAATGCAAAGTGTGGAACTTGTTCCTGATCCCAGGAGGGGTTGTTGCAAGGAGTCTGACGAAGACCATGTCCAGGAATGAAGGAAAAACGATAATCGATGGCAGGGAATGCAAGTAATTAAAGGGAAACCGGGTGGGTCACGGTAGATTGATTTCATCGAGATTCTCACCTAACCTTCCCAGCTCTCCACCTCCCCCTTGTCCTTGGACATCCCTCTTGGCTCTGGCTCCGGTCACGTCCTGTGAGTGGGCCGTGTAATTGGCAATAATCACAAGATGCAGCTTTGGAACGAAAATTCAATTTACATGCCGCGCCGAAGCGAGATGGCGAGAACATTACAGGATGACCCCTGACCCCTCAACCCCCCTCGGGATATGGCGGGGGAGTCTTATGAAATATGCCAAAGGTGACTGTCAATTAAAGGTCAGATGGGGTAGATAAAAATTATTAGATTTGTTTTAGAAGATATTATATTCGTTATTTATAATACTAAATATAATAATATAATTAATAATAATTATTATTATATTCGTAGGTATAAGGGCTATTAAGGAATTCCTAAAAGCTGTGCTCTTCTTTTCTTTTTTTGTATTTATTGTCTTTGATTTGCTTTGCATTGTTTGTTTTTTTTTTTTTTTTTTTTTTTTTGCACTTACCTGCCGGAAAGAAATTGTTCAAGAACGTTGACATTTTTCTCTCCTCTTCTCACATTCACCTCCGGTTTCGTTTCTCCTTTTTTTTTTTTTTTTTCGTTTTAAAAGTGCACTGATTTCCAAAAAAAAATACGTAATTGTTTTTTTTTGTGTTTTTTGTATTTTTTTTTTGTTTTTCTTTTTTTTTTAATTTATTTTCTTATTTTATTTTAATTTTTGAATAAATGGAAACATAAATTTAAATAAGACATATAATCCGCGCTTACTTTCTAAAATCTCACATTACACATTTTCACATAATTAATTGTTTTTTTTTAGTTTTTCGTTTTCTTTATTTTTTTTTTAGTTTTTCATTAAAGTTTTTTTTGATTGAAATGCATTTTCGGGCAAATAATTAACAATTGAGGCGCATCGACTGCAAAAACGGTAAAAAGAAGAGAATTAAACAAATTAGTATACAATTATTTATCCATAACGGTAAAACAAAGACACTTCTTTATAGACCCTACACTATCCTGTTGGGAAAGGTGACTTATAGGGAGTGGGACCTGTAACTTTATTTGTTTTTCAAAAAAGGGCTACAAAACGAAATCCAAAAAGCAACAGCACACATCACAAAGGTAAGGGGGGAGGGGGTTAGGAAAAAGGGGGGGAGACTGCTTGGATTTCATTTAATTTGTGTGCTTGTATGAGTGTGTGACGGGACGCCTTTCCTTAATATACAGACACAATTGCGCGAATATTACTTTTGATTTTTGCACTTTGGTTTTTCACTTCTTTTTTTTATTTTCCTTGGAGACCAGAAGCACCAGCAGCAGCAGGCTTATTTTTCCATATTTTTAGAGTTTTCCAACACACACACACACACACACACATACACAAGAAGACACATGGAGATATTCCGAACCTGCGCCAACACACGCCAGGCAGCAGAAGTATTTTTTTTCTTGTAATAGCACTTGAGGGAGTTTTCTTTTATTTTTTTTATTATTATTATTATTTTTTTTTACCAACGAAAATACATTTTCCAGGCGGCAAACGAGGCAAATAAGAAAAACGCTACCGCGATTGTGGCTGCCCGGAATGAAAATGAGGGAAAAGGAAACGACAAAAAAGACGATCCAGCAGTGAAGCCACATGGAGTCCACAAGAGCACCACCACAGCACAGCAGAGTACAATAAAACAACAACAATTACAGCTGTGTTTGCAACAGTGGAACTTGTTGGAGAGTGGTGGGAAAATGTCTGCGGTCAGGATATATTTTGCAGGATATATGTATACGATTGTCGTGAAGCCCTAGCAATTGGCGTTGTTATATATACGAAACGTGTAGAAGGGGGAGGGGGGATGGGGGGGGGGCAGGACAGTTCAACAGGACTCAACAGCTGGTGGCGCACAAGCAGCAAACGCAAGGATGCGATCCACATAGAGAAAAGTGGGGAGCTTGAAATGGAGCCATATTTGTGGAACTAAAAACAGCTGGCTGCAAAAATACAAGTGGAGAGGTTGGTAGGGGAGGGGGGGAGGTACCTCCTCTGAAAGTCTACTGCGGAATATAACATTTGGAGTAAACTTTCGTAAAACGCAATTTGGCATCTTGGCCCACAGTGGTTTGGATTAGTCATTGTACACCTTTGATCTAGCAGTTCTGATTTTCTTTCTTTTTTTGGAGTTTGAATTCTTGTTTTATTTTCCGCAAGCATACCCAAGCGGACGCGACACACACACTCACACACACGCTTGCCACAGTCTGGAATGGAGATTTGGGAAATCGGTGGCGAGAGTTCATTTCCCCGAGCCACTTATATGCCGACCAGAGTCTGTACAGCCCCCATAGCCATTTCACTTAATTTTAAAACCATTTAAATCACTACAGAAATGAAATAATTGAACGCTTACAGCCAGTAATAGGGTTGGAAGCGGCGATAAAAAAACAACAAACAGTAACAGTGTTGTGGTACGTATAGAAGTTCCAAAAGCACATCACTAGGGCGGCTATCGTTTGGGTCTTAGCTATCGATAGATATTAAAAGAGCTAAATTTAGCGGGAAATCGAAAATCTGGTGTGTGTGACCTTATCATCACAAATCACAAAATACCAGAAAAAATAGTACATTCATTTTTTGGGAAAGAAGGCTATTTGTTTGTTGTTTTGTTATCATTCGCTCTCAGTCCATTCGTTTGACAAGTTCGTTTCTAAAAAGAGCTCCTCAAAAAATAAAAATAAATTTTCCATCAAAAAAGAAAATAAGTGAAAAACAAAATTTCAATTCCTGTAGGCCAATAATACTTTCTGCTGGCACAGAGTTTTCCTGGCTATTCAACAAGAAGGGGGCTCCAACGGAATAGGAGAAAAGTTTTGGGGGCAAGAAAAGCTGATAAATAAGTGCAGTGTGCCACACAAAACACTGGGAGGCAGCAAAGTTTCAAGAGAGAGAGAGAGGAGGCGTTGGGATTTGTGTTGAAACGTGTGTTGGTGTGTGTGCGTCGTTCCCCCTGGCAAAATCATTATTTCTTGGCAAATCAGAGCCACAATATCACAGTGCACACAAGTAGTAGTTTAAAAAAAAAATAAATAAAAAATATGTCAACGGTCGAATCTTCGAGTTCGGCGGTGCAGCAGCCCCCCTCATCGACATTGCCGCTACTTGGCGATAACCAGCACTCGGCCATGGCCTCCACATCCTCGTCGACCGCATCCGCTTCGTCCTCTTCCTCGGGCGGGGGCGTAGTGGGTGTGCCGCTGGACACTCAGAATAGTGGCGAGCCGCCGGCAAAGAAACAGTTGCTCGATCCGAATGCAGCCTCCTCCAGCTCGCCTGGTGGTGGGGGCACGCTGTCGAGCGCCGCCGCCGCATCGGGAACCCACGAGAAGCTGGCCTATCGCATCTCCACCGCCCTGTGCTGCGCCGTTTGCCTGGATCTGCCTAAAACGGCCATGTACCAGGTGAGTTTGCTGGTTAATTCCAGAACGGGGGGGTAGAAGAACTCTCGCGTAGGCGTAGAACAGTGAAATTTTAGGCTCAACTATGAAATATGGAATATGGGGCTAATCCCTACAACGAAGTAACCCCCTGTCTTGCCACCACGACCCACCCCTCTTCGTTTTTAACAAAAGAGAATCATAGATGTGGGAGTGTATTGTACAAGTGGGGGTGTGTGTGTGTGCGTGCGTGTGGGACGTTCTCTGTATACAAACAAATAGAGCCAGCTCAGCTGTAAGAGTGAAACCGCACCACTCCCCCGCGTCTCGGCCCCTCGCACCCCCAACCGCAGTACAGCTGTGGGCAAGCGAGACAGATACATAGTTGGAGCTGACTTTCGTTGCACTCGCCTTGAAAACAAAATTTTCTGCAACCAGTGCCGTAGGCAGCATATTTTTAAAAGGGTATTGGAAGTTTTTGAAAACTAGAACCTACATTCTCTCCATGCTCCGCACGCCACTGAGATGGCCACTGCGGAGAAAGGGGAGCTGCCGTGGCATAAGCATAAGCATGCTGGCCCTGTCGCACTCTCGGTAACTAATGCAGTTTTATTGCGTTTTAGAGAAAACGGATTTTGAATTCAACCCCTCATTTGAACCGTTGCATTTCACACTTGGTGCCACTTGGCCAGTGAATTATAGCCGCCTGCCCCACCCCACCCCTCACACCCTTCCACTTACACATTTGCGCAGTAACAATTTACTGCAGATTTTCTGTATTGCGTCATAGAATAGAAGCCAGCATTTGGGATCATATTTGAACCCTCTTGGTGTCTAAATTGAATACGTAGTTGTTGTTGTTGCTGGCCTATTTTTAGTAGCCCCCGACCTCGTGAAGAGTATGAGAGACATGCCAATGAAAAAAGAACTGAAGGCGAATTCTTGCATTTCATTCTATTAGCTTTTCTCTCTTTCCTGCTTTTTATTCCAATTCTTTCTCATTAATTTCTGCTGACAATTGAAGAAATGTGTTGGGAGATCTTTTACGTAATGACATTGCTCACTCTTTCTGTAGCTCACGCACACTACTCACCAAAAGAAAAGGTTACTGCGTCATTAAAAAATATTGGTTCTGAATATCGAAACTATGAAAACGTGACAAATTCCTTATGAAATGAATCATCGAAACATGCATAGCATAGTTTGTGGAAAAAAAGGAACCATTATTTTTTTTCGCCCATTAGCATTTCCACTCATCTTTGTTTTGAGGTTTCCATGTTCGTATGTATGCATGCATGTGCCTGCCTGCCTACACACCTTTCGATTTTTGCTCTCTGTTATTGTTTTGTTTTTCGCCCCACGTTGTGATTGTGGTTGTCTCGCTCTCACCCATGTCGTGGCAAAATCAGCTGTTCGCGATATTTCTTTTTGGAATACGGCGGCGCATTTAGTAATTGTCGGGAGAATGCAATTCGATATACGACGTCGCCAGAAGTCTTAGATTATTTTTGTGGAATCAGCTTGCAGGTTGGGTCATGTAATCTAGAATAAACTCGTTTTACCTGTTTCCAATGCACGCGCGGCACTGTGTGTGTGTTGGTGGGGGGAAAGGTATAAGGTATACCTGAAAAAATAAGCAAGCACACCTGAACTTTGTTTTTTTTTCCCCGTCCATTTTTTAACGTGATTTCCTTTCTACCTACTGTTGACGTTTTCTTCCTCTTTCCTCTTTTGCTTATCTGAAAAAAAACACCATCAGCTGGTTTTGTTATGTCTGGGGCGCAAGTGCGGGCGCGCAAGTGAGACGGTTAGATCGCGTGACGAGAGGGAGACGGAGAGTAAACAATGCACATGGGGAGAGATTTCGGTTATTTTCCTTTATTTATTATTCGAAAAACGAGTTGGGGGACTGCTATTAAAATAGTAAGCGTTAAAGCAGCTGCTCCTCAGTTAGTCTAGGTCATAAATTGCAAATCAAAGACGTTAATCGGAGTTCGTTCAACTGCCTATAGAGATCTTGTACACATCAATCGGATTCATGAGATACACAAACCAGAAGATACACATGCATATGCAGGCACCAAAAAAAAAACAACAAATAAATGTAAACAGTAAAGGGCCGTCATTGCTTATCGCTTGCTACTTCGGATCTCTGGCGCGGCTGGCTAATTCCAAAAATAGAGAGAAAAAAAATTCCAAAATGAGGGATTGGAAGGGAAAAAGCCACGCCGTCGTCGCCCGCATTCCAAAGATACAATACGATACAGATACAGAACAGAAATTGTAAATAAATAAAGGTCTCTGGTATCAGCGGGGGTCGAATTTAACGCACGATTGGTCCCTATCGCGGCTACCCATACTGCTCCCTATCTCTCTACCAAACGAACCTATCATCAATGACAATGACTTGACTTGAATGAAACTATAACCCAGAGCTATAAACTATTTCTTATGATTTTGATTTAGATAAATTTTAACCATCTTGTCTAATGATTAATCTTAGTTAAGTCTATTTCGATTTAACCATTGTAAGCACACGCAACCAAAAAAAAAACAAATATATAATACAACATGAAATGTAACCGTAAATGCTAAGTTTATAGAACCGATTTCATCCATAGCATTAAAGTTAAACCCTGAAATGTATTTACAGAAAAAAAAAAACTGAATCGAAACTGAATTTAATAAATTTGCAATGAAAAGTGCAAACTTGAAAATGCAAAATGAAACCAAACTACAACATAGCGTTTTTATTTCAACAAAAAAAAAATAAATAAAATAAAAAAAACACATGGAGGATCTAAGCATCAGATCATCTCCCACAAAGAACCTCCACCCCAAACTCACACTCTCATATCACCTCCGGAGGAGCTACTTTCATTACCACCCACCCCACCCCACACACACACAAACACACACACACATAAAGCTATTTGCAACAAGGCCGTATTTTGACTAATAGCAAACTTTTCTTCTTTTTTCTTTAATTGCAGGTTAATTTTCATTCCACTTATGTTTTAGTTTTCAATCTCTCTCTATCCATCCTAATACCATTCCTATGTCTAATTATTAAAAATTAAAATTAAAATTTTCCCATTTTTCTGCTCTTTTCAATTTCAGTGCCAGATGGGCCACCTGATGTGCGCCGCCTGTTTCACCCATCTCCTGGCTGATGGACGGTATGGAACTACACACTCTTACAATTATATATCCACATTCTCTTACACTTGCATATTTAAAATATTAAATTAATTATTTTCTTTATAACTAAACTAAATAGCCTTAGGGATCAGATTGCTACTTGCCCCAATTGCCGCGTGGAAATATCAAAGAGCACTGCCTCGCGCAACTTGGCCGTGGAGAAGGCCGCCTCTGAGCTACCCAGCGAGTGTCAGGTAACCCTGAATATCCTTCTTTATAAATCAGATTTTTAATAAAATATATTTTCCTCCTTTTAGTTCTGTAATAAGGAATTCCCTTACAAATCTCTGGAGCGCCATGAACAACACGAGTGCCAGGAGCGTCCTACAAAGTGCAAGTACCATCGTATTGGTTGCCAATGGCGTGGACCCTTCCATGAGAGTGAGTGGTCATCTTATAAATTATCTAAATCATTACCAAAACCCGTATATTTTCCACAGCTACCGAACATGAACGCAACTGCTTGCATCCCCAGAAGTCGGGCTATGAGGTCATGGCTGCCCTGGAGGCCCACGATGTCCTCATCAAGGAGGAGAAGAAAATGTTCAATACCCTGATTGATTTGCTAAGCTATGAAAAGATCATCTTCAATGGTAAGTAGGGTGGTAATTAATAATCCAAATGCGGGTAGAAAACCGCGGGTAAAATGGTTATCAAATACATTATAGTGTTGTTATAGAAACTCTAATGATGAATGTACTTTTTAGATCTTCAAATGAAACCCTATCGTACAGATGAGTACGTACACAAGCTATTCTACGAAACGGCTCGTTTCTCGGCCTTCAACCAGCAGTGGGTGGTTAAGGCCCGTATCAACAACAGCCAGCGGGATCCTCACCAATCGAACGAACGCACCATTACCTACCAATTGATCCTGAAGACAAAGACTAGCACACCCATGAGCATACACTTTTTCGCACTCAAAGGCCCCTTCTCCGACATGAAAGTTTCGACACAAATTTACAAACATGACTTTACAGAGACCGTATGTTAAAACATAATTTAATTTATGATTATTGTTAAAATTATGTTTGTTTTTATAGAGTACAGAAAGTGATTATTATGTGTTGCCCCTTCCTGATGGCACCGGCGGCACTGGTTCCAGTGAATGTAATCGCATGTTGGCCAACAAGGGCATCAATTTCCGGTGAGTTATAGTCGATTCTCTCGAAACCATTGTTTAAATCTCAAATTTCTCTACTTTCAGCCTGCTTATGTTTTTGTTAAACAAGTAATTTCGTTCGCTAGATGCGCATCAGAAAAAAGAATTTTCAAATTAGCTTAAGTTTGTTGTTCCAAACTCTTAAATGTGCAAAAGCTAGTAATAGTTGATTTATATTTTCTATAAATGTATAACTTTGGAAAGAAACCACGAGTCTAGCATAACCTAAAAAAACGTCGGATATAATATGTAATCAAAAGATGAAAGAAATGATAACTTCGGAAAGAACCGAAAATACTATATCCTTGCAGTTGAGATCAGATATAGAGTTGGCCGAACCTTCGTTAGTATTTCATTATGTAAAACATTTCTGAGAATACAAAATTAATAGTCCGAGCTTCAATTTTTCGAAATACTAAAGTTAATTTCATTATTTTCGATCATTATATAGTTTATAGTTTAAAACAGACCAACAATATTCACTGCAAGAGTATAAAAAACAACGCTAGCGACGTAACGTAGGTTGTAACCTAAATTTAGGACGAATTAAGAGTGTAGAGAGGCAGAAGATGATACAAACACCTACATTTTGTAAATGAAGAAATGCCATTTTATGGGAGACAGTTTTCAAATAGCTATGTTAATTTTTGCTGTTAGTGCAGGCGGCGCAAAGAACACGATGGATGGACAAGAATAATGATCTCACATGGACAGAAACTGGAGGAATGGAGCCAGCCCAGCACCCGCTAATCCGATAAATACAATAACCATAAAAATAGCTGTAGTAGACTAACTTTTCCGGAGGCAAGAATCTTCGAGTTCAAAGGCCCCGAATCGCTGTAAGAAAACAACACCAAGTTGACATCCGAATTCTAAGCAGACATACATATACATATACTATATATATTGTATTGCTCCATAATGTAATGTAGCTATAGAAAAACAAAACATAGATCACATAGCCCCGGCCAACAACAAAAACAACACATAAGAGTTCACATTCAAATCTTGTCTAATTCTAATCGCGTTCTGTTGACCCTCTTACAATTAAATGCTTACAACTTACATTCGTACATGTAATATTTATATGCATCGTTAAATGATAACTATACCTAATGCATATATTAAAGATACTTCTTAATAAATAAAAGCGTTTTTTTAAGGGGAGGGCTTGAAAGAGAGTCCTGTCTAAAAACAAAAAATATTGGATTTTGGTCTTAAAAAATCGGATATTTTATATTAAGATTACATCTAGTATGAAATAGTAGGCACGCAGCAGGTTGTTTCTGGTCGGACTTCCTAGCTACTCGTCGTCTTCCTCCATGGCTTGGTACTTGTTGCGCACATGGGCGGCAATCACCTCGCGGGGATTCTGCTTGAACTTCTTGTCCTTGATAACCTTTTCGAAGGACTTGACCCGATTCACCACCTCTGTGCGCTTCTTCCGGATCTTCTCATTCGCACTGAGAGGTGCTTCGGGTTCCGTGAGCGTTATCTTTTCAGCAGCGTCCTTCTGCTTGGTCTTGACCAGATTATAAATGTCCTGCAGCGATGGGAGAGCATCTTTTAAAGGCTTCAGATCCCCGATCACCTTAGTCTTCTCCCGATTCTTGCGGGCAGTCTCTTCCTTACGTTCCTTTCGGGTCTCGGCGAATTTTTTAAGCAGTTTCTTGTGTTTTAAAGCAGATTTTTCCTTCTTGGTGGTTGAACTTTTGGGAGTCAATGTTTTGTGAAGAAGGTTTTCTTGGCGTAGTTTGGCCTGAAGCTCCTGGGCCTTTTGCTTGGCCGCTCCCACAACACTTTTGGCCTTTGCTCGAACATTTCGTTTAGTCTTTGCCATTTTTTGAATATTTTTATTTGAAGCGAAAATCAAAACAAACGTGCAGCGTGCTTTCTTGGCTCCCAAAAGTAGTGTTGTAAACAGCTGATTATCGATATCGTTTCTGCAAAAGAAAAATAGCTAAATATCGCATTAAAATGTATCACATTTTAAAGACTTATATATAATATAATATTTCCTATTTATATCTTGAATTGAAATATTTGAAAAAGTGATGTTCTTCGTTTCCTAATGGCTCTTTGTCATTTTTTTTGTCTTCTTCAATTTGTTCCCAAATATGCCGCACCACATTATAAGAGAACTTTAGAATCAAAAACAGCTTCCCAACCATAATTTTTTTTTACATTTTCGGATAGTGAATATTTTGCTAGTTTCTCAAACTGAAGATTTAGACAAAGTGGTCACTTGTTGCTTTGTTTTGTCTTCTTTTCTAAAAAAGAATAATACTCCCACCTCTAGCGTTATCGAAATATCGGTATGACCGGTATATCGTAAACAGCTGATAGGAGGAATATACAAACACTTGGTTCTTTGATAAAATTTAAAAGATTTTAGCGCAATGGATTACGAATTTAAAATGAAGACCCAAATGGAGCGCACCAAGGTGGAAGACTTGTTCAACTACGAAGGGTGCAAGGTGGGGCGGGGCACCTACGGTCACGTCTATAAGGCAAAGTGGAAGGAGACCAGGTGAGCTGTGAATCTCTTAGGAATTTCTTTCGTTCATGTCTGAGATATACTTTTATTACACAGCGACGGCAAAGAATATGCCCTTAAACAAATAGATGGCACTGGTCTGTCCATGTCCGCTTGCCGGGAGATCGCCTTGCTACGGGAGCTGAAGCACCAGAATGTAATTACCCTGATCCGGGTGTTTCTCTCGCACAATGACCGAAAGGTGTTCCTTCTGATTGACTACGCGGAGCATGATCTCTGGCACATCATCAAGTTCCATCGGGCGGCAAAAGCCACCAAGAAACAGGTGGTTGTTCCTCGTGGCATGGTGAAGAGTCTGCTGTACCAAATTTTGGACGGTATCCACTATCTTCACAGTAACTGGGTGCTGCATCGGGATCTCAAACCGGCCAATATCCTGGTGATGGGCGATGGTAATGAACGAGGCCGGGTTAAAATTGCTGACATGGGCTTTGCGAGGCTGTTTAATGCGCCCTTGAAGCCCTTGGCTGATCTGGATCCAGTGGTGGTCACCTTTTGGTATCGAGCGCCGGAATTGCTGCTGGGCGCTCGCCATTACACCAAGGCCATTGATATTTGGGCCATCGGTTGCATCTTTGCCGAGCTGCTGACCTCCGAACCGATTTTCCACTGCCGCCAGGAAGATATCAAGACTAGCAATCCCTACCACCACGACCAGTTGGACAGGATTTTCAACGTCATGGGTTTCCCGCAGGACAAAGATTGGGAGGACATTAAGAAGATGCCGGAGCATCATACCTTAACGAAGGATTTCAAGCGATCCACATACTCCACCTGCTCCCTGGCCAAGTACATGGAGCGGCACAAGATTAAGCCGGACAGCAAGGCCTTCCATCTTCTGCAAAAGCTCCTACTGATGGATCCCAACAAGCGCATAACCTCCGAGCAGGCCATGCAGGATCAGTATTTCCAGGAGGAGCCGTTGCCAACGCAGGACGTCTTTGCCGGCTGCCCCATTCCGTATCCCAAGAGGGAGTTCCTCACCGATGATGACCAAGAGGATAAGTCCGACAATAAGCGTCAACAGCAGCAGCAGCAACAGCAACAGCAGCAACAACAACAGCAACAGCAGCAGCAACAACAACAGCAAATGAACTCATCGGAGCCGAATGCGAAGCGAGTGCGCTTGTCAGGAGCCGGGAATCAGCAGGACTTCCACCACCAGCAGCAGCAGGCTCAGCAGCAACAGCAACAACAACAGCAGCAGCAACAGCAACAAATGATGTTCAACCAGCAACAGAATTTCCAGCAACGCTTCAACTGAGAGACTGATTAATGCAGCATTTTTATACCACTCCTTTACTATTCCTAGCCTTCTAAGTATTTAATGACTTTAGTGTGTAACGAAAAAATACAAAAACCGTACAGTAACTTAGTACCAGTCGCTGAAGCGTGCAATTGCTCGACTCCATTTATCCATGCGGGATGCTATCGTGTCGTAGACTTTCTTTCGCGGACTGAAAACTCGCTCCACTTGTCGGAAACACTTAAGATCCTCGACCCTGCTCCAAATGCCATGGTTAATGCCAGCCATGAAAGCCGCACCCATTATACTGCTCTCGGAGTTCTCGGCTCTCTCCACCTGCAGCTGGCTGAGATCGGCCAGAAATTGACAGACAAAATCATTACGAGAAACGCCACCATCCACCCTAGAAACAGATTATTCAATTTTAGGAACTTAAAGATTATTCTATGGAGTTTACCTTATGATTTCAAGCTTCTGGGAGGTTTCCTGCTCGGCTGCCTCTATCAGTTGCACCAAACGAAAGACAATGCTTTCCAGGAGAGCCCTTACCATGTGTGCTTTTGTGGTGGAGGGTGTGAGTCCAATGAAACCGGTGGCCGATCGATAATCGTTCACCGGAGGCTATAGAGGATTGTAGAAGTTTTAGATCTCCCAATTCAAATATCTAAAATGAATCCTTACTCCCAGTCCACTAAAAGCGGGCATAAAGAAAACGCCATTTGTGTCCGCAACTGATTCTGCCATGGCTGCCGTGTCCTTGGGATCTTGAAAGAGCTCACAGGATTGCGCCCAGGTGACCACGGTGCCGAAATCATGGGACGCTCCCTCTATGCAGTAGATGGCTTTCTTCTCCATCTGCCAGGCCACCAGTGGATACATCCCCGTGATGGCAGCATGACACTGGGGGCCAGTGATTAAATTCAGAAAGGCTCCTGTGCCCATGGTGACCTTGACGTCGTTTTTCGCGAAGCACTGTGATCCCCACATGGCGGCTGTTTGATCACTGAGCGAGGCTGCTATTGGGACTCTTGTCCTGCTCCACTCCGGACCCAGAGCAGATGGATGTACATGTCCATAGCCCTTGTAGCCGTTGTCTACAACGCGTGGCAGTATTTTAGTCTGGAGATTAGTCAAAACTATAGTACCTGGCAAGGATAAGATAAAGTAGTTCTAAACACTCACATCTAGGCCGAAGAGCCAACTTATCAGCGGTGACCAGCTGAGCGTGAAAGGATCATACAGGCCCGTGGCCGTGCTGGAGGTAACATCGGTTATGTGCTCTACTTCGGTGTCTTTTCCATTACCCGATCTCAGTTTGTATAGGATCCAAGAGTCCAGCAACTCAACACGAGCCTTTTTGTGACTCAGGGCATGACGTAGCCGCTTATTATTCAAGATCTCGTAGAGCAATCTGGGCGTCACTTGGCCATTCATTAGCTTGAGGACGCTTCCGGCAAGAAATCGCGACTGTCGGGTGAGCAAAAACAGGGCATAGGAGAACCCGTTCATGGTGCGCCTGGTCCAGCTGGTGTTCCATTGCTCCACAAGCTCATCGGCACGCAGATCCTTCCAGGTGATGAAATTGTGGTAATATTCGCCACTTCGATGGTCCCACGTCAGGAAAGTGCAGCGCTGCGTCGATATGGTCAGGCAGGTGATGTCCGTTGGCTTTAGTTTGGCATCTACAAGAGAGAAGGTTTATGTTAAAGGATATGAAGGGTTTAGGAATCCTTTATACTCACCCTGTACTGCCTTGTTTATCACCTGAACAATTTTTCGCCATAGAGCCTCTGGATCGATCTCAAAAAAGCCCGGCTGCGGGTTCAACAGCGTCACCTAAACGCAACCAAAGGTCGTAAAAATCGTAAATTGTCGTCAATTAACTTTTCCCCCAGAAAGTAAGAGGGGGAAATACAGTTTTAAACCCACACAGTACTTTTAAATTATTTTTATAAAGGAATTATTTAATTTAATTACTAAAACTTGCTTTTGGTGGTAGTTAGTGCAAGAGTACAAGCATAAAAACAAATTTTTTACGGTCTGATTGTATTTACCCCCTTGACTTTGCCCCCTGGCAGTTAAGTTAATGAACCAAACACTTACGGCATCCACTGCCGATCCCCTGACAGCACACCTCTCGTTTAAAACAAAGCACCGCACACAGGTTGTTCCAACGTCCAAGGCGGCAATAAAAACGGCTTTGGAACGGTCCGGGGGAGGTGCTGCTGAATCCTTAGGAGTAGGGTGCGGCACCTTGGCGTCGAGAGCTTCTGCTTCTCCGGCTATCTGCTGTGGAGGCGCTGACATGTTTCGCAGCGCTCGCCTCGTCAATCACTGATTATTGGACGTCCTTACTCGAAGCTGACGGCGGCGGATCGACTTATCCATTTCGCTTATAATGCCCCCACTGCGGTTATTGCTATTAGTAATGCCAACTTTATTGTTATTGTTGTGGCGAGGTCTCATAGTGCGCGCTTCAGATTTCCTTATCAGGTGCTCGACTTTTGTTTCGCGTCCAGATGATGACCAGTCGGGAGCCAGGGCTGTCACCTATCGCGAAGAAAGCTAGATTTTTGAAAAATAGCTATAATTTAGAAAACTTAATTATTTATAAGGCTACTTATTATTTTTTTAAATGTATACATCCATTAAATCAACCAATTATTTTTAACACTTTTTCCTGTTTTAATATAGTTCGTTTTTTTACAATTAAAATTTTTCTAAATTTTTTTTAAGCCTAAAAAAGACAGTTTCGGATTTAAACGATTTCATACCTACCTTTTTAAAATAAAAAATCATTAAAAAATTCAAATACTTTTAAAGAAAAAGTTTTAAGTGTTGAATAATACAGAAAAATCCCTAGAGATTCCTATCACATGGACAACCCTAATCTGTGCGCCAATTTTAAATCAATTTCTCTCTTTTGAAAACAATAACAACCTTTGATAAGACTGGCCACCCCGAGGCCAATTGGATTATGATGGCTATCACTGTTCGATTGATAAGCCCTCTAAAATTAGAGCATTATCATGTCGATATTCACGTGTGTGATGTCTCACTCCATTTATCTTTACGACCCATTTTATTTTACAACTTTATTTGCTGTACACATAGACATGCATATTATTTATGTACATACGGTATACAGTATATATAGGTACGAATTCAGGTATATAGATTCTGCACGGCATATCCACGAAAAACATGTATCTAAAATAGTTAGTTGTGTCCAATAAATACATTTTACAATCAACTGTTTTAACACATCGATTTACAGAAAGAGTACTGGATACAAAGCTCTAGCTCTCAGAAGCCTCCTTGCAAATAGGTTGCGCCATTGTTACTTAGGTACTGGATTCGGTTCTCATTTCGGAGATATGTCTACGACTAACTGATGGTTTTGAAGCGGAAGTTTCTTACATGTCCGTGGGCAGGATGTCAGGAATGAGATACTGACATAGCTCAACATCATCACTAACGAATTTAACCTTTTTGGAGGTATTATCATCAAGCATCAACCGCACGCCCGGCCAAATGGTGGAGAAAAATCCTGACGAATTGAGGATTAGGCAGACGCCGAGGCGCTCTGGAAAGTGCTTTCCCAACAGCCAGATGAGATTCTTGACCAGCTGGTAGTCCATGCAAGCAGTACTGAACTCGGCCAGATCGAATACGATGCACAGACGGTCGGTGACCTCCTCGAAGCACTTCTTGCAGGCCTCCTCCAGGTTGTAGACAATGAATCGAGTCAGCTCCTCGATGTCGCGCTCTGAAGAGCTGTGATTCTTGGCCGGAATATAAATCACGGGACGACCAATGCAGTCACGGTGGCGCAGCACACGAGCCTTATTGGCCAGCAGTTCCATGTCCATTTCGCCGAGCTTATCGACGCCATATGTCTCGCGCCACTTGTTTGTCTTCAGAATGGCCTGAGGGAATATAAAAAGTTATAGTGTTTACTTATTGGAACAACCAAGCATGGCTTTATCTCGTTTCTTTTTAAATCGAAAATAATGTTTTAATAAAAACATTATTAATTTTTATTTAAATATGTATTTTTAGCAATAAGTTCGTAAGCTTCCGATTTCAAAGTAGACGTTACCATATAAGAGGTTCTGATTTATAGAATTGCTCACCTGAAATGCGTCATCCGTGGTCTTAAAGGCGCGCAAATAGCGCCGAAGGGAAAAATCGTTGTGATACTGCTTTGGATCTGCGTCCACAATCAGCTTCATGCGCTCCTTCAGATCCTTGAAGTCCTTCTCGTTAATTGGCGCCAGCTCTTCGGACGACATATTGCAGCGCTTTCAAAGGATTAACTGCCCAAATTATGTAAGCTTGCACGCCAAAAATGATCCTATTGGCAATGGAATGTGCTGACACCTTGTAAAATGCAAGGGAATGCTATTTTTCCGTAGATATAATTTTTTTTCCCAACAGATGTATTTTTTTCTGTTTTTTTTTTTAGTTATCGTTATTATTAGTGTGGCCGTACGCGAGAAGTAATTGAATTGTCAGCGACCAGGGCTGTCGATTTTTTATCAGCAGGGCGCCCTCTTGGGAAATTTTGAATAAAACATTTATTATTATTACCCGAATTTTATGATTGATAGATATGCTTTATCTGGTTTTTTTTCATTGTCCCCATTAAAAAAAGAAAGATTATCGTTAGGTCGCATTATATACATACATGCTTATATATTTTTAATAACTGCAATTAGTTTTAATAAAAATGTTAACAATACAATAAGTTTCTCGGTAGAAGCAAACCACCATAAAAAAAACATAGGATAAACCCGGCTATGTAGAGCCCTATGTATTAGCTACACACATACAAATGCCGAGATTCCTAAAACGAGATTGCTTTTGCTCCATTTAAAGCCTCATTGAGAGTGCAATGAATGCTCCATTACTTCGGCACCATGACACGGGCTATGCCCGGCAGTACCTCCGCCTGGAGGGGTCCGAACTCCACCCGCTCCCCGTCGACGGTGATGATGCCGTGATTGTCGTGCGGTTCCAAACGGAAGGCGCGCACCGGCAGCACCTTCACGTACTCGTTGTTCACCTCCGGCAAGTGGGTGCCGGAACTCATGTTGTAAAGGAAGCTCAGCAGGTGCGGTCGGCTGATGCCACCGCGTATAAGTATAAGGTAGATGGTGCCGTCGTTCATCTGGGCTTTTGGTGCAAAATGACAATCGATGCCCAGATGCGTCTGGTAGACGGCGTGCATCATTACAAACTCTCCCTCCTCTACTAACCAGCCCTGCTCTTTAAGGAGAGGCTCGCTCAAGTCAGGCAGCTCGCTTGATGGTCCAAAGTTCTGCTGCCTATTTTCCAACGAAGCAGCTGCCAGTCCAGAAAACTCACTCTCATCGGCCAGACTGTGATAGATGCTCTCCGATATGGAATAGTAAAAGCTCCTGCGTGATCCGCCAGACAACCAACTGTCGCAACGGGAACGGAACGACTGGTTGATAGAGGTCTCCAATGATATTACATCTGCAAACTCCTGCGGCAGGTACTCGGTACTGGAATGATGAAAACTGGGATTGGCTGCCAGCTTGTCGATGTGCGTGTTACAACTACGACTGCTCTGCAGCCTGTACTGTCCACCGTATTCACCAATAGAGTGTCCCGGTGCTGGAGAATCCTGATCCCTTAGCAGGTAACTGATCTTTCCATTGTAGGTGCGCAGATTTGCCAGCCTGTACAGTGTCCAGACGGTAAAGCGCTGGTATCCCAGCATACGAATGCGCTCGCTCTCGATGTCCACATCCGAAATGAAGCCCCAGCCGATAGACAGGAAGGAGTAAACGGAACGACTTTGCAACTGGACCCTTACAACATCCATGGGGGAACTGCGACCGCTGATCACGGTAAGGGCTGCTCCCAGAATAGGCTTGCTGAAGTACGGTTCGCTGAGGAGGAAAAATAACAGATCATAAGTTAAGTAATCTTAGAAGTAAATAAAAGACATCTTAGAGCGAAAAGGAATATGATCCAATTGGAATGTAAGGTCTTCAAGTGAAAGAAAACCAAATCTCATTCAATTTCTCTCTAAAAAGTTTCCAATTTCGAAACCTACTTGTAGCCATGGGCTATGGATCGGGCCAAGCCGTTTCCGGATCCACACGGAATGATACCCAATGCCAAATGGGGGAGAACGTGAGCCCAATCTTCGCGTTGCAGCAATCCATTGACGATTTCATGGAAAAGTCCATCTCCGCCGACAGCTACGACGCAACACCAGGCATCCAGAACCCGTGTGCTCATGAATTCAATGGCAAAGTTGGAATGCTTCGTTACATACAGATCATAGGGCACTTCCGCTTCGTTCAGAACCGGAGTGACATGCATATTGAAAACTTCGCGTGCGTTACCGGAGCCAGATTTGGGGTTCAGGAGTACCAGAACGCGGCGACGACGCTCGTCCGAAGTGGGGGCCACGAAAATCTCCTCCATTGTGCGATGCAACTGCCAGCGAAGTGCCCGATACCAGCGGTCGGCTTCACGCATGTTGTCCTCGAAGGTGTCGAAGGATCGAAAACGCAGGGTCAGAACGGTTCGCTCCCTATGCAGCTCGGTGCGGAGACTCCGCTTTTTCAGGACGTAGGCGAAGACGTACAGGTAGGCACTGACGTCGCCGTCTCCGACCGGAGGGTCATTCCTGCTGGTGATGCTACATTTACTGGGTGTCGCCGTTGCACCTCGGTGATCCCCAGACGCCGAGATAGCCGGGGAATTGGGATTTCCGGAACTGCAGGCGCATGCTCCGGACATGGCCAGGCGACGACTTTTCTTTGGACGCATGCATCGTGCTCCCACGATGTCCGAGATTCGTACTTGTTGCTCCTTTATTATGGTGCCTGCCGGTGACTCGCGCTGAAGTGTGAATCCTGTGGCGTCCAGGCGCACCCGGAAGACGTGGCTGCCCTTCCGTTGACTCGTATAAAAAGTGTCACTCACGTCGTGGCCCAGGTCCCCAACGTCCGCCCCTTCTGGGGGCGTGGAGCTGGCCGTGCTGGTGCTCCTTTTATCATGAGATTCGTTCATCTTTACTGGAGACTCCGATGCCAAGCAGCATTTTATTTTTAATGTCGGGCTTTTGGATTCCCTTATCACAACCAGGGCAGCAGTGTGGCCACGTTAGATATTAGAAAAGATACCAGAATGGTAGAGGACATTTTAATTTTTAAATTTAAATATTAGTTTGAAAGTTTTAACCAGTAATTCTTAAAATGAAATCTTAATTTATTATTAAAGTTTTAAATATTTTATTTTTAGACTGCGCGCCAAACTTAGTAAAAAAGTATGCTACTAAAAATAGTTAATTGTGGTATCTGACGCATGGTCACACCCGTCGCTGTTTTTGTTGAGGCCTCAATAATTTTTGTGTTAGCGTCGCGAACGGCAGGAAAATGATGCAAATGAAGGAGTACAAGGAGGTGCCACAGGATGCACCGCACGACGACACGGTGGTGCGACAGCCCCAATCGACTGGTGGCGTACCTGCCAACGGAGCTGGTAAGTATCCATACATATATCCATACACATAGGTATATCCCCCGCACTTTATATGGGCAGATTCCCACACACAGATGGGGGACTTATTGATATGGGCGCGCCTGTATTGGGCGTGTGCAAAAAATTCGCATATCTGCCCATTGCTACAGCAGCGGGGATATAAATAGTGCAACTCTTATAAACAAACAAAAATTAATATAATTTTTTTTTAATAAAAATTATTTTTTTAAGCAAAAAATACATTTTTTTTAAGTTAAAAATTGTTGCATGCATCTATATAGTATAGATATTTTATATAGTATAGCTGATCATGAACAACGCCCATTTCTTTGCAGAGAACTGGATGTCCATACCCGTGGGCATGCCCAACTGCCCACAGGGCCTCGAATACTTGACGGCTCTGGATCAGCTACTGGTGTCTCAGAAGATCGAGAAACTCGAGCTACTTACCGGCTTCGAATCGAAGAACCGCTTCAAGGTGAAGAACTCACTGGGACAGAACGTCTACTATGCCTACGAGGAGAGCGACTGTTGCACCAGAAACCTACTGGGTCGATCCCGTCCCTTTGAGATGAAGATCCTGGACAATTTCCAGAACGAGGTACTGCATCTGCGCCGGCCATACCGATGCGAAATACTGTGCTGCTTCCCTAGCTGCATGAACGCAGTGGAGGTGTCGGCGCCACCGGGCCAGGTGATCGGAACCGTGGAGCAGGTCTGCACGTTCATGCGGCCCAAGTTCAATATCAAGAACTCGTTCGGCGACATCGTCCTGCGCATCGAGGGACCCCTCTGCCCCTGCAAGTGCTTCAGCGATACCAATTTCAAGGTCAGTGCGTTGCCAACAAGTGGTTCTACATCTGTGGGTATTCCATATTCAAACAAGTATACAGTTCCGGCCAACAGAATAGCATTGAAGATAAGCAGCTTCACCTTCGCCAACTGCAATTAGATCATCTTTCCGTCTTTGGAGAGCATCTCAAATTAATTAATAGAATTAATTTCTTATCTAATTGAACAAATTCCATGACCCTGAAAGTATCTTTCAAGTGCTTATTCATCTGCATCGGTAGTGGTTTAGCTTCTTATGTTAAGTTTTCGAATTGATGGGCGATATGGGAATACATATTCATCTTGAAACATTGTTTTATATGCAAGAGCTGTGCTTGTGTGAGGGATTCCATATTTATAGAAACAGGAAAGGTCACAAAAATAGGGCAATTAAAAAAGCACTTAATAAAAGTGCGATTAGAAGTCTTTAGAAAATAATTTAAAAACTAATAGCCCATTAAAGAATTCAAAATTGGTAGCACTATTGTTATGATCGCTACTGTCTGGTTAAAAGGTACAGATGCTACAGTCCGAGACAGTGACGTCATGGGACGCTCGCTATGCTTCACTGTCCACAGCGAGTCAATTAATTCAAAACTGCGCTGATTGCAAATTCTTGATATTTCTGTGTGTGTGTGTGGTTCTTTTTTTTTTTGCAAATTCCCGATTTCAATACAAACTTATATATATTTTTTGTTCGTTTTAGGTATTGAGCGCCAATAATGAGGAGATTGGCAAAATAAGCAAACAATGGTCCGGTCTGGGTCGGGAACTGTTCACCGATGCGGACTATTTCAGCGTTTCGTTCCCCTTGAATCTGGATGTGCGCATGAAGGCACTTATGTTCGCTGCCCTCTTTTTAATCGTAAGTACTTTGAAATATATTGAAATTCGATAAAATTCAAAATTATCTTTAATTTCAGGATGTGGTTTATTACGAACAATAAGTCCAGTGACCCCATCTGTTTATCAAACAAGCACACAGACTATTATTGCCGACTGTTGCATCGTTATAGCTATAAGATTTCTTGGAAACACTACTTATTTGATCAACCTTTTCGGGGAACTCGATAAGGAACCTCCCCAGCAAAGACGAATCTCTCTATACTCGATCAAAACCCTTAATATTTGCGCACAATTTTGAATTCGTTTCTTGCGAACCTGGGTTGGCATTTAAAAACGCACAAAAATGCAACATACACTTACTGAACACACTACACATGATAAGAACGAGTGCCTTATGACGTCCAAGTTGTTATTGCCCGCCCACTTTTTCTGTCCCATTTTTGATATATACCTCAACATAATTAGCTTTGTTTCTTGTACCCGAAGATCGGAGGAGCGCACTGGATTACTTAACTAGCAACCATGGTGTACCTAACAAATAATTTATACCAACTATATATTTTTATGGATACTTTCTACAAAAACTAAAAATAATCGAATGAATATCGAATTATTAACGTTACCCCATATTATGTGCCCACAACTGGCAGCAATCAAGGCATTTTCCAGGAGTTATTTTTTGGTTTCCCCAGTTTGATTGTTTCCATGTGGCGCCACGCATTTTTGCATCACTTATATATGTACTTCATCAATTTATTTATCTCTCAGTTATGCTGTAAAATAAACGAACTATATTTTTTACAAAACAATTGTGGACCTTTTGCGAGTGAGCGATCGGGTGGGGGGTCTATTGTTCGATTTAGAATCAGTCACGAACATTTGGAATGTAACTGGGATTGGCTGTACAGACGAAGGATGCACACAGACACACTACTGATTATTCTTAGCAAAGTACTTGGTTTTCTCCTCAGGATTGGGAACAATCTGGAAAAGGTTCACGATAAATACTTCCTCAAAGATCTATTAATCTCATTGCTTACCGTATCAGCTCCTGGTCGCCAGCCTGCTGGACAGACCTCGCCGTGGGTATCGGTGTACTGGAAAGCCTGTACCAGACGAATTGTCTCATCCACCGATCGTCCCACCGGCAGATCGTTCATGGTGATCTGTCGCAGCACACCGGCTTGGTCAATGATGAAGAGGCCTCGCAAGGCATGGCCACTGGACTCCAGATACACGCCATAGTCCTTGCTAATCTTATGCGTCAAATCGGAGAGCAGGGGAATCTTGACATTGCCCAGACCGCCTTCCTTCCGCGGCGTGTTAATCCAGGCCAAGTGGGTGAAATGAGAGTCTACACTGATGCCAATCACTTCAGTGTTGATCTTCCGGAATTCAGCGATGCGATCAGAGAAGGCAATGATCTCAGTGGGGCAGACAAAGGTGCTGGAAGAGAAGGGTTCATTAATAAGGGTATTTGCTTTTAAAGGGAAGTAACTTACAAGTCTAGTGGATAGAACAGAAGTACTACATATTTTCCCAGATACTGGGATAAAGATAGCTGAACAATCTCCTTGTTGACTACAGCGGTTCCCTCGAAAGGTGGCGCTGGCTTGGAAACTGTAAAATACAAAGATAAAATATATTATATTATAATATATTATTTTTTTACTCACTGACTGCCTTGGTGAACTGCAGCTGGTGATCCCCCTTATTCTTTTCAGTGGGATATACTGATCCTCCGGCAAAGGAGTAGCACGATTCACTGTCTTCCGGCTTAGCGGCAGCCACGAGTGCTGCACCCAGCACAAGAATTGATAAGTACTTCAACATGACTTGACTGAAATTAAATCCACGTAAGTGAAGTACAATTAGCTTTGGCTGAACTAAGATTTATGAAAGTTAACTCCCACTTTAAAGTTTACAAGCTATAATTTTTAAAATATTCTATTTTAAGGTTTAGGATTTAATCCTTGAGCCCTTAATCCCTCCCAGAAACCCTTACTTTATTTTATCTAAGTAAGTTATTATATCTTAAAGCCAGAGTTCACTGTACATGCATACAAACCAGAAGCACACACTTTCACAAAATATTCTGGCGGCCACGCAGTCAAAAAAATTTCTATTCTTCCTTGAAGAAGTTCGATTGATTTTTTTATGGGGGAGGAGAACAATACCCCTATAATGTTGTTAGTGCTTCCGCAAAGATAAGCTTATCAATTTTATTCAACGCTCGTATATTTTATAGTTGTCAGTGGGGAGGCGGTGTGATATAAATGGAACTGATACTTCAATGCCTATGCGACACCCCAGACCCGCATATATTTTTTAACTACAATATATAGTCGAATAATGTAACTTGAATTAAACTTAAACAACCACAGCTGTTACCTGTTAAACGCTATATTTAACTTTTTTGTTTTAGTAAACCTCTACCGGCTTTGTGAAAGTGTTACCAGATTTTGGTGGGACCAAGTTTTCGAAAAAAATACCACTTTATACCAAAGCATATACAAAACCCGCGAGTTTTAAAAAAATTTAAAAGCTCAAGGGAGACCTATCCTCACAGGAGGATATATGTAGATAATGTGGGGTATAGTTGGGCGATTCTTTTGAAGATTTTAAGTTTCAGACTTGTTTCTTGATATAAACGCGTTCAAAGTTTTAGCTTTTTAGAAAATAGTCTGCAATCCCACGACCATAAAGCTGCCCTTCCAAATTGTAATATTCGATTCCAAGCAAAAATGGTAGGCCTGGACACAAATATCCATCTCCAGGACGTTTATAATATGCAGGATGCATGTTAGGCCATCATTGAACGTGCTAACAGCGAAATGGAAAATATCCGATTGTAAACAAGAACCTCACTGTTTTGGAACATGTCGTGACGCTCCATACACGGGTAATAACTTATTTTTTCTTGGCAATACTTTGAAAAGGTCAGAAATATATCAAAACTACATTCGAAATAAATAAAAAAAAGTCGAAATTTTCAATTTGTTTAGTGTCTATAGGATATAGTCAACCGATTCCTATATAGCTTTCTATAATAAGTCAGATTCCGTTAGGTTCCTTAGCTACATATATTACGGCTTGTATAGATTCATTTGAACCTAAACAAGATCATGTTATTTTCTTTATAAAAACACACAGATATTATTAATTTCGTACTTAAGAGCTATAAACTTTATTAAAATATATATGTATGTATAAATTGCTTGCGCTTAAAAATTAAGATTTACGCCTGGAGTTAAAACAACACGTACATATCATATATATGCAATTTTATCTTCTACGACGACCAATAAATATATATATGTATATATATAGATATATTCTCTCTTACGGCCTAGGCGATAAATTATGCATTGCACCAAATATGCTGTTAATGCATCATCATCTAAGACTACAACAAATTGAGCAAAAATCTGTGTTAATTGCACAAAAAGCGAACATTTAAAAGTAGATTGCATGGCCATGCAAATGACGCTTATTTTAATAGCTTTGATTGAGAGTTTTTGTGGGTGTTGGGCCCGGTATTTGTTTTTCTTTTTCTTTTTGTTTTTTTTTTAGTATTTGTAGCTATTATCGGTTTTGTTGAGGGTCGTTGGTGGCATGCGTGGGGCATGCGAGAAAAATGCACATTGCCAGCAGAGGCCGCGACCTAGCTTTCCCAGGCCTCGTCCCGCTGTTTGGCAGCTAACAGCTTGCGTTCTGAAAGTAAAAATATAAGTAAGTACCGACCATGGTGATAGTTTCAATCCACTCACCTTTGGCTTCGCGTAGTACCCGCCTCTCCTTCTCACGCTCCTGCGGCGCTGTGGGCAGTTTGACGCCCAATGCACCGGACACCAGGCGACGGGCCAAGGCCGTGCATGTTTCCGGTCGCTGGCGATACGGTTGCAGTGAGGTGGCACCGGCCTTCTTTGCCTTCAGTCGCGACTCCAGTGTGGCCTCGGCCAGTGGCTTCAATTTCACAAACGGATGTCCCATCGTCAGAACTTCGGCAGCTGTTTTTAAAGCTTTATTAGTTAACGATATTTTAAGATTAGATTGTAGAAGAACTAACCGATACGTGAACTGCTAAACACAGCCAGGCAATGGGTGTCGTCCACCCATTTAATCTCAAAGCCGCTACCCTTGTACTGAGAGAACAGCATGAGTAGATCGGGGGTTTTGAACTCCACGGGGAAATTGGAAACTTCTAATACGTGGGGGAACTCCTCCTCATTGAGCAGGGATTGCTTGATATGGAAAACCTAATAATTTACAGAACAAAATAGGTTAGAACTATAAAGATTTTTGTAAGGTTTTGAAAACCCACGGTGTAGTCCATTTTGGGCAATTCGATTTTACATTTTCCCACCGATTCACTCAGTTCTTGAAGAATCTTGGGATCCAGGCAGTCGCCGCTCTCGTCAAACTTGGTCTCCCAATCATCCTCATCCTCCTCCTCTTCATCGTCCTCGGTGGTGCTGTCTGCAGGCGGTGGTCTTACTGAGTCTGTGGGCTTGGCTACCGACGTTTCAATTTTTTCCGGAATCTCCAAGACATCTGAGACGAAGGTTTGTTTCATAATGCGACGATTACTGCGATTGATTTCCTAAAGAAAGAATAGATATTTTTAATCCATCCAGAGGTCGGGCTTTGGATTAACCCACCTTTGAGGCCCTTTGCAGCTCGCGCACATCGTTATCACATTTGGCCGCCTCCTCGCCATTGGTATTAGTCCTGGCCGAGGCCACATCCTCGATGCGCAAAGGCGGCACAGGCTGCTGTTTTCCATTCCTAGCTGATTTTCCAGATTTGGTTCGCTGGGCGCCGCTCATGGTCTGTTATAATGGAATGGAGATTAGTCTCTTCCACTGGAATAGTCTTCTTTAAACCCACCTCGCTATCACAGTTGCCGATACTTTCCGCTGGCTTGGCCGGCTGTTGGTTCGGCGATTCGTTTTCAGTTCCTGCTATCACGAGTACAGTAGATGCCGCTTCCTGGTGTCTTCCTGCTAATGCTGCCTGCTCGGATTTTCGGCCGCGTTCTCTGCGCTCGCGATGCGACCTGGATTTCTTGGGATTAGGCTGCGTACCGTTCGTATCGTCCGCTTTGGGCGAGTGTGTATCTGCAACTGGCGTTGTATTTGCAACTGCCGGCGTCGGAGCGACAACAATGTCCGCTGCTGCTGGCGTACTACTACCTGTTGCTATCGTTATTGTTGTTGTGCTGGTGTTGGTATTGGTATTGGTGCTGGTGCTAGTGCTGGTGCTGGTACTGGTCGGTGGTGTGGTTTGACTCCGTCGTGCCCTTGGCACATAAACGGCGCGATCGGGACGGCGTTTGCGACGGGTCGCTGCTGCTGCTGCTGCTTCGGCGGAGACCACTGACGACGACGACTCGTCCACTTGTTGCTCTCTGCGAAAGAGTGGAGCAAAACAGAAGTAACAAAAAAAGGTAATCGATTAGCTCACAAGAGAATTTCGTAAACTTTAAGATGCACTTTTTGAATTTTCATAATAATTTTGGAAAACTTACTTAAACTGGCTATATCATATAGCATAAATAACCGATCTGGGCTTGTTTACCTGCTATCTGTGGAGGTAGGACCGGAAGATGCAGTAATTGTTGCTGTTCCTGCAGCTGTTGTTGTTGCTTCTGTGGTGTCTGGTTTCGTTGCAGTGGCGGAGTGTTCGAGTGTGGCAGCCTCTTCGCTGCTGCTGTTGTTCCTCAATGCTGGCGGTCGGTACAGATCCACCGAGTTCGATTTGCTTACTAAAATACGAGACGAGAGAGAGAGAGGCCAGCAGACGATTAGCAACAATAGTTGGCACAACACACAACTAACAACAAAAATAGGTAAAATAGATGAAAAACCGACTAGGGTGAAGCAACGGATTTGGCATAAAATAAATTAAAACCAAAATTCACTTATGTCGACCCAATTTTACGCAGTCTTCTTTGTGCCCAGTTTCGTGAATGTCAACACGAACTTGGCAGGTGGGAGAGGCAGTGGAAGAAGGGGCAGCAGCCAGTGGGAGGCAGGTGGGGTGGTGGGGCAGTTGCCTCAAGTGAGCGTGCGCAGCTGGAGCGGCTCGTTCGGGCGCGTGTGATGCAACAGCTTCCAAAAAATCCGCTCAGAAAACACGGCGACCTTGAATGAGCTGCGTGACCCGCAGAGCCCCCAGTGCCTCTGCCAGCGTATGCGTCGACAGAGCTGCTGGCATTTGGTTATTTTTATTTAAATAATAAATTGAAATACTCTAAACTGGAGGAAAGTCTTAAGGAATTTTAGATAAAATTTAATTTTTATATTTATATGTTTAATCAAAAAAATAGTTAGACCTTCTTAGGCCTTTAATTAGGATATTTAATTAAAGTCTACCCTACAAAGTGTAGGGTATTTCCAGCTGCGTTAGGATCCACCCTCACCCACCCATTAATATTTCGATATTGCATTTGTTTTAATTTTTTTTTGGCTTCGCCTTTGTTTTGTATTTTTTTCTGCGTATTTGCAAACATTTGGACGCTTGCTAAATATTTTCGCATTCGCCGAAAATTAATTCAAAAATATAAATACATTTCTTTGTTTATTTACTCACATGGTGCTTCGTTGATATGCTTCTTAACGCCCATTTTACAGAGCTCCGTTGCCGTTATGTTTCTTCTGCTGGCGCTGCTGCTTCTGCTGTGGTTGTTGTTGTTGTTGTTGCTGCTACCGTTAGTGGGGGGATGACTGCTCCGCCAGCTCTTCACTGACTCCCTGTCCCTCTGCTGCTTGTCTCTTTCCTTTTCCTTTAACTGTTGTTGCTTGCGGCTGTAAGAGAGGGTTTACACAGGTACTTTTATTTAAGAAGAGAGATTTTTGGCGATTACAGTTACTATTACTCTTTAAATTTATTACAATAAGCTTAATTTTAATCTGCAATATGTATATACTCACGCTTCAAAGCCGTGCGGATCGAGGAGCTGATTGCGAAAGCACAATACCGTGCGTCGGTGCGGCCCTTGCCCCACTGAGAACGTGAACAGATCGTACTGCTGGCGGTAGCTCTCACATGTTTGATGGATGAGATAACGGCGGTAATTGCCCACAGGTGGAAAGAGAAGAACCCTGTCGGGAGAGCAAAAGATAACAGAGAGAGCAAGATGAGAAAGGGGGTCAGAATGAGAGCACAGAATCGATCGCTTGAAGAGAGTGTTGTATCGTTTATGCGGGAAAGCCATTACATCAGCCTTAATTGGCCAAATTGAAAACATTCTCCCCTGCCCCTGCTCATTATCGTGAATGGTCACAAAACAAACTACAGCTGGGACTTGAAGAAAACATTTGCCACAAAAGATAACAACTTTTAGTGCATTTCCTTATCAGTTTCTGTTTCTAAAAACACGATTTTGGCCGCCCCATAAACACGGTTAGAAAGAGAGCTAACAGGTTGTTGATAAAAAAAAAAAACAACAACCTCAAGAAGCTCCCGAAAAATCTTGCAAACTGAAGCGCGACTTGTAAACTGTTATGTAATAAACTAGCCACCGCGTGGTGTAATATTCAAAGTCATTTAACTATGCGAGGCGGGTTGTTTATCGCGCGGCGATTAATTGTTTATTAAACGTGCACTGCATGCCACTGAGAGTGGCGGGCGAGCGAGCAATGGGAAAAAGAAAAACCGTGTTAGTTGGCGCAACTGCAATGCGGAAAATCTACACTATTGTTGTTATTGCTTTTCCCCCATGTTGCTGTGCCAGCAGCAGCAGCTGGGAAAACTCGAATTTGTGGCATTTGCGAAAAAACTGGTAATATCTGCACGAAAGGCACACAAAACTCGTACTACTTCTCGTTTCTGGCTTTTGTCTTTGTTGTTGTTGTTGTTGAAGCGTTTGTTGCACATTTCCGCGTTATCATACACTCGAAAAATATTCTTTCTTATTGGAACTTTTTTTCTCACACATTACATTATTATTGTTATAAATATTTTAGAGTTAAATATATTTTATCGTTTAATAAATTTAAATAAAATATATATTTATTTTCAGTGCAATGGATATTGTTGCTTGTTTTGAGGCTAACGGGACCCGGTTACAAGTAGTTGTTTTTGTTGTTGTTTTTTTTTGCAGAGAGCCACTGGTGTCCAAAACGGGAGAACGGAACATTGGGGCTGGATTTGGGAGGCCATGAAAGGTTGCCTCGTCTGACACACACACACACACTTAAGAACAGACACTCACAAACACAGCGCCACACACCTACGCACTTATTGCTCGTGGCAAAAGTTCTTACCCAGAACTGAGGCGCTTCTTTACAAACAGCTCGATATCACAACCGACATTATGGTGTTATTGCTTTTCCCCCATGTTGCTGTGCCAGCAGCAGCAGCTGGGAAAACTCGAATTTGTGGCATTTGCGAAAAAACTGGTAATATCTGCACGAAAGGCACACAAAACTCGTACTACTTCTCGTTTCTGGCTTTTGTCTTTGTTGTTGTTGTTGTTGAAGCGTTTGTTGCACATTTCCGCGTTATCATACACTCGAAAAATATTCTTTCTTATTGGAACTTTTTTTCTCACACATTACATTATTATTGTTATAAATATTTTAGAGTTAAATATATTTTATCGTTTAATAAATTTAAATAAAATATATATTTATTTTCAGTGCAATGGATATTGTTGCTTGTTTTGAGGCTAACGGGACCCGGTTACAAGTAGTTGTTTTTGTTGTTGTTTTTTTTTGCAGAGAGCCACTGGTGTCCAAAACGGGAGAACGGAACATTGGGGCTGGATTTGGGAGGCCATGAAAGGTTGCCTCGTCTGACACACACACACACACTTAAGAACAGACACTCACAAACACAGCGCCACACACCTACGCACTTATTGCTCGTGGCAAAAGTTCTTACCCAGAACTGAGGCGCTTCTTTACAAACAGCTCGATATCACAACCGACATTATGGACAAACTCTTGATCTATCAGACTTATACTATTTGCGAATGACGTTCGCAACCCGTTTTCCAGTTTGATCGTTAAAAAATGCGACACTTTGGTCGCATATAAGATTATTGCAGCTGTATTATATTTGCTTTAGAACTAGAGGTGGCAAGAACATCGATAGCATCGAATATTTTCGAATATCGATATTTTTCTGGGAACATATGTTTATGCCGATATTTTCCAACACTGAATAAAGAGCTGCCAACTTGATGACATGAGGCACCCTGTGGCGGACGTTACTTTTTTGAAAAATTAAATTTTAGAATATGAATTTTCTTAATATATATGTTTATTTATTAATTAATTAAATGGTATATTAAAGAAATAATATATATTTTACTTTTTCTGGAGGCTTGTTTTTATTTGCAGGAGTATGTAAATGGATGGCGCCTATTTAAAATAGAAAAAACTAAAAATATATTAGTTTTATTTTGTTTAAAATGTAATGCATACTTACGTTTAGTGTTGGGTTTTTTATTAGAAAATTAATCAAGTCTGTTCCATCCTCTTGATGTTAGCCTCTTTTTACTTGAATTTTTATTACATTTTCCTCTTGAAGCCAAGAGCATCATGTTCGCATAAAATATCGTTGAATTTTTCGCTGCTGCTAATATTTGAGCAAGTACTTGAAATTAAATTTTGCATAAACACGAACGTCCATCGGAAAGGAGGGAGAAGGACCTGTCGCTCGCACCGCTTCCGTTTCCCTCAGCTGTCAACGGGCTATCGCGCACCCTTGACACTTCCCACGCCCCCGTCACCACTCGCAATTTTTCCCAGCCCCCAAAAGCCATTTTCTAATGGCTCTGTTCGGAAAATTCGCTGTTTGCACCGGGCAAATGTTTATTTATGAATTTCTTTTGCCTTCTGGTCCTGTTTTTGTGGGGATCGAGGTGTCACTTTGGCAACGACGACTTTTACTTTAACCAGGACAAATATATTTTGCGTCTTCGTATCGTGGTTCGTTGTTTTTTCTTATTTTTATTTAATTTGTTTTGGTTTTTGCATTTTACTGCTCAATTAATTGGGCAGGCAAGCGTAGCAAATAAAGTTGCGTCCATGGAAATGATAAATCGAGGGAATCGCACACAAATATACCGTCATTCACCGATTTCAGATGCCGTGGGTTATGAGTCATAAAAGTTGCCTCTACAAATCCCATAGATGCACTGCAAAAAAAAAAGGTTGAACTTCAGACTTTTTCGGTAAACAAGGATAATCAGAGTTATGATTGGCTTAGTAAGACCCTAAAATTTTTTCGTGTGTGGCAGAACTCCATTCATTACAGGTCCAGGGACAAAAACTATACCCATTGCCACGCCCCGTCCGACAATTTGTAACGCCTTTTGCTGTCATCAGAATGGTATCCATAAAACCGGCTCTCACCCACCAATTTTCGGCAAATTGTCCCCGTTTATTTCGCCCGATAATGCCTCAATAAAATGTGCCTCCTCCGGGCATCTTTCTCGCCAGATACATACTACCCATATAGGTGTTCTTGGGTGCGAGTAGGTGTCTGTTATCGCCAATATATGTCTCGTGTATGGGCTACCTATTCCAATATTCCATGTTTTGGGCCAAACTATTTTGCAATTACAAAAGTTGTAAAATTTTACGATCTTAAAGCCTTGAGAGAGGACTTTGATAAACGAAAAGTTTAAGGCTGGTTAGTTTGGGGAAATAGTTTTTCATTCGTTTATGATTACGACATCATCTGGGCTTAATTACTTTTCAGTCTGGCAGTGGCCTTAGACAAGGGATTAGGGGTATTACTGTCTAGAGACGATGGAAATTATGTTTTTCCTTTAAACTGTATACTCTTTAAACTTTTATTTCTCTGATTTCCTCATTAATTGAGTTTCTGCGGAAGGATGCGGAAGGTGCCACAAGAAACCGCAAATTTGTGGTATCTAAGCATTGGAAAACACCCAATAAAGGTATAAATCAGGCTTTTCCCTGGGTTTTTGTTTATTTTTCAGCTTCTTTTTATCTTGAGGGCCCCTTTGGTTTTTCCCGCCAAGTAGAAAGGAATGCTGCAGCCTCCGGCAAGTTTGTTCCTCGCTGCAATTTTCTTTCGGCTTTGTAATAAATAAAGTTTTAATTACCCATCGACAGATTATAATTTCAGATAATTTACGCATTTCAACAATTTCAATTAATGGTCAAGGATGTCGGCCAATTAACGTTCCCCTCTCAGATCAGAGGTGTACTTCATATATCTGATTAAAATGCCAGTCAGCGGGATGTGTCTAGACTCCTGGCTTGGTTCATAATTTTCGGGGGAAAGTTGAGTAATTTAAGCCATGGGCTACGTGACTGAGATTCCAGCTAATCGAAGGCAAACACAATCCGAAGATATTTCGCATTCTTTAGATAATCAATTTATGGCATCTCACGCCCCTCTCACGCAGTGTGAAAATCGAAAATCCTCGTTTCGGTTTTCAATTTCCATATGGCTTTGCAGAGTGGAAAATTTCTTATTCATAGCTGAATTAAATTCCCCTTTTTTTGGAAAGGAACTCCTTTCCTTGTTTTCCTTGCGCCCCTCCCTTCTAATTTCCTTTTATCGAATTTACGATTTGTTGGTCGTGTCAACGCTGCGTATACGCAATGTGGCATGATGGTCTTGGGTGGTATGCTGGGTGGCATGTTGGGTGGTTTTGGGGCCAAAATCAAATGGCTTGGAATTTGTTTTTCCCTTTTTCAGTGGCGTCGTCTTCTTGGGTCTTCAGCCATCCATTGCCGTTTCTGCATCAATCTTTGATTTGCAAATTATTTTTGCATTCCACTCAAACGATTTGCGTTTTTATAGTTCCTCGGGTTGCCTCGGTCGCCAATTTTTGGGTCCCGGCTCTGATAAATTGTGTCACATAAAGAGCAACAAGGCCTAGGGTTCGATTTTAAAGAGCATGGAAACGAAATGTGTGTTTCTGGGCGACAATAAAATGGAAGTTATGTCCAAGATGGGGTATTTCAATAGGGAGGTTTTAAATCTTAAACAGATTCGTAGGTTTCCTGGTTTAAACTTAAAACTGAACTTTAAGCTAAGAGAATTATTAATGGTGATAAACATGATACATGAGTACCTCCTTGCTGCTCCATTAACATGAACTTTGTGCATAATTGCTGTAATCAATAAAGTAAACACAAAAAGACGCCTTTGAACTATAACTCTTGCTGAGATAAGAGCTCGTCTGCCGCTTATAATTTATGGGCATTCAAATGGGAGAAATCTTTGGACGCCGCAGGATCCATCCGCCTGCATTGCCAAATGTCATGTGGCGCCACATAACCTTTTTTGGCCCCGCCAGCCTCGATTTCCGCCCACGCATCCAAGTCCTTTTGACATTTACAAAGTGCAGCTGGGTAAACTCCAAAAACATGAGACAAAAAACAAAAGAAAAAAAAAACAAATTGCAGGCAAACTGCAGACGATGACGTTGGCCACAGTTGTGTGGATGCACTAAACAAAATATATTTAAGCTTTTTGTTTCCTAAACAATATTATTTAAAAAAAAATATAAAGCTCTTTTAACTATGCATAGTCTTTTTTTAAGAAATCTTAAAGTTTCTAAGGATTTATCTCTTTCTTGAAATGATTTTTTTTTTCTCTGCATAAAGACAATAATCAGGCTTTTTGTAAAGTTGCGAAACAATTTGTTGTTGCTTCGAGCTCGGAATAAAACCAACTTGAATGGTAAGCCAACGACTAAAATAACAAAACTAAAGGCCTGGAAAGGGTCACGTTCTTTGCGTGAAAATTCCTATTTACGTGCTTACGTTTATTTTGTGCTATTAACACTTTATTCACCTAAAGTAGTTGGAAAGTTAGGGGCCAAGACACCAAGGTATCTATTACAAATAGTACAAGAAGGTTTGGAAAATCTGTTCGAATTTTAAAAGTGGTATTGGCTTATACATAAATGATGTTATTTGAAGTCGTTTCCTCTTTAAGTAAGACATATAGTTTGCATTTTCCTCAATTTTAATATGTTTAGAAAATATTACTTCAGATAGTGATGAGTATTAGAGCCAAACTTTCGATAAATTTTAATGATGGCGTCGAAATTTCGATACATTTTAGTGATAAGGTCGAAATTTCGATTAATTTTTATGATGGCGTCTCTGAGTAAAGTTTTTGAAAGATTAACTGATAATAAATAACGTTATGATAAACATATCTTCAGTTAAGAAACCTTATTACTAGCTTAGAGGTTTAATTTAAAGAAATTGGTTTAACTTCAAGCTAATATTCTAGTTTTTCCATTGGCATCGGAAAGACTTTCCCTTACGTCACGTTCTCAATACAAAATCGCCAAGCTTTAACTTCAACTACCCTATCGTACTGCGATGTAAGTGTTTATAATTCTACGGAAATGTCTGGCGAGGATGTCTCAAAAAAATAAAGAGGAAATACACCCACAAAAGTTGCCTTTACAACTGCTTTCAAGTTAGATATATACTATATAAGCTCGTACTGTGTGGCTAGTCGTAAGAGTGGCGATTGTTGCGCTTTTCTTGTCGGATGGAAAAACATGGCAAATGCCTTATGTTCCTGCCTCTCGTGCATTTCCTCCTCACCAGACCGAAGGAAAATTGACTTTAAGTTTCCCTTTTGGTTTTGAGAGAGAATTTCTGCCGAGAATAGCCGCCACTTAAAAGCCACCAACTTGGCCGATACGAGAGCCTCTTGGGTATGCAAATGGGGAAATGGAATCCATTTTGGTGGCCAACTAAATTTTTTAACTTCCGTGACATAAATCCCAAGAACCACAATAGAAGGTGAAAGTAATAGTTTTTCAGGATATATATTTTTATTATTTTAAGTTTGAATTTATTTTTTAAATAACGATTCACCTTAATGAATTATAAAATATAAATATTATAAATATTATCATTAACTAAGCCCTAATATCTTGACCGCAATTGCACTTCTTAGACAACCCCAAACATGACTCCTCTGTCATCTGTCACCCGTCATCCTGGCAATTTGCTGACAGGCGTCAGCCACCGGCCAAGTTAACAGCCAACCCTGGCCGGAATCAGCTAAGCTGATTTACTTAAGGAGCCCGGCTTTCCACTCG